TGAGCACTCTGCCATTGCTCTGCACCTGGCACAGCTGTACCTGCACCTCTGCATCTGTGGGATCCAGGCTGTCCCTGCAAACCTGGAAGCTGGGGGAACACAGGGCTCCTGGCAGTCATTACATGAGCAGGGCCCAGGAATGTGTCTGTCCACCTGTGGACATTTAGCTGCTGGGCAATTGTCCAAAGTGATGGGTTTCTACAGAGTGACTTTCCATGATGATCTGTTGTGTTTTTCAGCTGGGACAGTCACCACTGATTTTTGTGCTATGAAAGAGATTCTCAGACTGACAGTCTGGGGCTTGCATGTTCAGGCTGGTGCCTGGTCTAGGTACACAGGAAGATCTTTACTTGCAGCCGTGTGGTTACATCAGCTCTGCCTGAGCCTGAGCTGCTACGGGCAGCAGCTTGGTCCTGGCAGCCCATGGTCCCCTGGGACTGTGCTGCTGACAGACTCTGTGGACTGGGTTGTTCTATAATTTGGAAGGCAGCCCAGGGCATCCTGTAGACCTGGCACAGGTCCCATGAGCTGATGGTGTTGCTTGCAGTCAGGCTATGGGCTGTTCCTTGGGTGCTCTGACCATTGAGGTTTTTGGCAGCGTCGCTCCCAGGTTCCTGCAGAACGCGTTCCCTGACCCTTGAAGGAATGCAGGCTTTCCCTCCAGTCTCAGTTTTGAGAGAGTCACAGAGGCAGGTTAGTGTGGTCCCCACTTCCTCCAGGACGCCTTTCAAGGCCTTGGGGGCTGTGCTGACTCTCCCACAATGCCTGTGCTGGGAAGGGGGGAAAGATGCACACAGGATGGTTTTCTCATGTTGGCTGGGTTAGGTATTCCCATGGGAAACAAGCAGGGCAGGGCTGGTGAGCACATACCCACAGCCCAGCAGAATTGACTGTGGGTACAGAGAGTGATCACAGGAGAGGAGTTTCTTGGAACACAGTCAGCTGAAAATTTGAGCCAATGTCTCTTTTCAGTAGCTCCTTCTGTGTTTCAGTATAAGTACTTTCTATTAGTTCCCCTGTATATTTTATTTTCTTATAACTTTTTTTTTTCTGTTTTTAGAGAAAGAGTTCAATTTGTTTTGAAGTGTTGAAATACCATTTGTTCAGTTTCTGTTACTTTTAGCACCAGATTTGTCCTTCCTACACTCCCACGTAATCTTTTTTTCCTGTAGAGAGACGGCCTGAGTGTTTGAGGCAGGTCCAAATGCAAAATCAATAAAATCTCATTGCTGTACATGTCATGGTATTAGAGCTCAGCAGGTGAGACTCTGGTGGGCAGGATCTTGCCTCCAGCCCCGTATCAGCCAGTGACCACAGGGCACAAAGAGAGAAGTGATGTTCTGCAATTCCATTGTTTCAGCAATGGAATTAACGTGGCTCTGTAATTTATATGTGTTACCAGCAAGTCACAATACTCTCGTCTCCTTCTGAAAATCAAACAGACCAGACTTTGGAAACCTTTTCTGCAGGGATCTTACTCATTGACTATGAGACAGGATATCTAAAGAGGTTGTTCATTAATTATTATTGTTATTAATGAACCTGTGTGTTGCCTCTTGACACTCCTCAGTACTGAGTACTTGGGATTTGTGGGTTCTTTTCTCCTTTAGCCTTCCAGTTTCTTTCAGAAAAGTAATGTAAAAGAGAGACTTGCCTGTGCTAGGATTTCTTTTTTGTCCCTTAATTCTGCAGACGTTATTTCTGAGTCATCTATCACTCCTAAGAGATGAATTTTGAAGGTTGTGGACTTTGCAGCTTGCTGGGAAATCCTCTTCTGTAGCCAGCAGAGTCAGGATTTATTATCTTTCCTGCAGTTCTTTCTGGAAGGGGAAAATACATGCATTTGTTGGGCAAACTGGTTCTGGGCAATAAGAACAAGAAGTTTAAAAAATTAAAACAGACATAGAAGGCACTGTAGCGTCAAGGCTGTATTGTAGATGAAGTAGTTTCTGTCTTTTATTTCATTTCTAACTCCTGAAATGCAAATGCAATTTTTACATATTCAATGAGGCTTTTGCATTTGGAGTCTGGGTTTTGCTGTTTGGGACGTTCTTGCCAAGAAATAGGCCACTAACACCAGCTCCCAGCACACACTCTGCCCGAGGCATTCCTCATGACCAGCATTTCAGAGATCTGTGGGGATAACCTGGTGCCTAGAAAATGGTACATAAAGAGTGAATGTCGATTACACACCAGAAGTTGCATAAATAGGGTAGGGGGAGGTGTTTTTATGACACCATCTGCCTCCGTGATCTGGAGCCCCAGTGTAAAACCGTGGCTCAAGCTCTTTACTATAAGTTAACAAAAGCCTTTAAATAGGGTAACTAATGGGCAAAACGTATCTTCACTTGTAAGGTTAAGACCCACAAGTCATCATTTGTAAGAAAGTGGGGGGTGGATTGGTCGCTGGAGAGGAAAGACATTAAATTAAATGTGGTGAAGCAGCCACATGGGACCCCTTAATAGTTTCTGAGTATTATTTTTTCCTAATGAAATTCAGCTTAATGCAATCCCACCCTCCTAGCCTGACAAACATCGACTCTGGCCTGCTGAAGGTTGTCATGCCACTGCTGCCTTTTAAATGATTCTGGGCACCCTCTGCTCTCTGCTGCTTTCTTGTCACTTACAGCCCCTGGTTTTTGACATAAACAAGGGAGTATGTCAGTGGGAAGCTGGGCCTGTCAGGCCTTTCAGTTTTGCTTTTCACCTGGTTGCTTGCTTACAACAAAAAGTAAGATATATTTTAGCGGGGGTTGTACGGAGACCCAGCGATGCATTAAAACCAGGCAGCAAAAGTGGGGGGAAAAACATCTGCGGAATATGAAATATGAATGGGGATCTGAGCCTCTGGAGGTCACACTTGAATGAACAGTGTTATATGAGGTGGATCCAGTGAGCCTCAGCCCTGGGTTCATCTGCTGGTCAGCACTCAGAGGATGCATTGCTTTTTTGGAGCAGTGAGTAGAAGTGGGTCAAATGCAGGCACCTGATTCATTTTAAGAGCCATTATAGAAACACTGAAAGAATTTGGATCCTAAATAGGTCTTTCTAGCAAAACCAAAGGCCACAAACCCTCCTTATAATTTCTGAGTGTGTGTTTAAACACAGCCAGAGCAACACTGCTACTGACCATTACTCATCAGCAGCATCTTCATGCATGAAGTGCTGGGCTCTCTCCTCTAATAGCTCGGGCTTGATTTCTCTTAGGAAGAGAGTTTAGTATGTATTTCCTTAGCCTCCCCCCGAAGAGTTCACCCCTCACCATTCCTTGCTTTCTGTGCAGGAACTGTCATTTTTCCTGCTTTCAGTTTGGTAGGAAAAGAATGATACTCCTTCTCAGACCTAGGGATGAATTGGACCAGAGACTCCTGCACACAGCTCGTTCCAGAAGAACCTGCCCACCATTTGGGGAACACTTACATGTTAGTTTTAATGTTTCTAGGTGTCGCAGATGTTGCAAAATAGTTTTCTGCAAGTTGGCCCTTCCTGTAGGTGCCTTCAGCGCCTGCTCATTGTGTGCTCAGTGGCTGTTCCTCCTGTTGCTTGGGCTAATTGCTAACAGATCCAGATATGTACATCTCCTTGTCTTTTCTTCCTCCACACCACTGAAGCACGCTTGCTTCTGCAGTCTCTTTGCTGTTTCTGCTCTCCAAGGCAGTGTTAGATGGAGCCACTGCTCTGCCTCGTGGGTCTGCAGAAAGCTGGCAGAGGAATTGCCGTGTTCTTCAGGCAGAGCAGCCTCCTGTGTGTATCACACAGAGCACCCTGTTTGAGAACCCAACAGGCAAGGAGGGGGGCAGGGGGTGTATTATCACCATGCTTTCCTTCTTGGTGCCGTGGCACAGAATTTAAATGGCTAGTCAAATGTCTGCAGCATTGAGGGTTTCTACCTTTCTTTGGTTTTTTCCCCTCTCTCTCAGTCTTTTATTTCACTGAATGATTATTGTTTCGAGATAAAAAAATGCATTTAATTCTGGCCAACAGGTTTTTAGCTTTTGTCTTCCTTTTAGAAGTATTTGGAGAGGAGACAATATCTAATAGTGTTACTGAGATAGGATCTGAGCTCAGTAGGAACACCAGGGAAGTTGATTGGACCTGAGGAGCGGCAGGAAAAGAAAACTAGAGGTGATAAACACAGACTGAAAGATTTTGTGTTATCACATAAGTATGTGTGGAAGAAGGTCAAAATATCTGTCACCTCAAACTAAATGTGCTTGGAAGTGAATGTAAGCAATGTATCCCACTACATCAGTATCCATAGTGTCCCTTGTACTATTGTTTTCCTGGTTTGCTTTGGTGTTATATTAATTGTGCATATGCAAAGTGAATGTATTTACCTGGGTGGGTCCCTTACTGTAAGTTAATGCTTATTAACTATGGTAAGGATAGTCCAACAAAGTCTGCCAAGTCCTCTATTAAAAGTAGAGAGCACTTACAAACCTCTGAGATGGATGGTGAGGTTTAAAATGAGCCTGTTGCCCTGCTGTGTGCTGCAGCTATTGCCTGGCTTTAATTCTGGAGCGAACTGCTCGAAGTCTACCCTTCCTCAAGGGCTTTGCTAATCAACGTAATCTGCTTTATGCAACACGACTAGAAGTCTAATTGATGTGTCTGCATAAAGGAAGACTCTGATAGTGGAACAGAATTTCGTACCCCAGTTGGCATCTCGGCAAAGAGGCATGAGGGTGACCAGGCGTGAAGTCAGAGTTACCTTTATACCCCCCGATGGCAGTTCTTGCCATGGGGGGATGCTCACAGTGCCCTGCTCACTGCTTCTGCAGGCAGCAAAGCTGTCCAGGCTGGCACTGTTTCAGCGTAAAAACTGTCTGGGGAGACACAGAGGATGCTGTAGTCCAGCAGAATCCCTTTGAAAACTTCTCAGAAAGTTAAATCCCACTTGTTGAAAGACTTGGCATCTGCTGTGCTGAAGTCGTGTGTCGGTGCGTGAGCGGTCGCACGGCTCAGTGCGTGTGGCACTTCAGGGTTCACACGGAGCAGAATCAACGTGCTGAGGGCTGGGCCTGGGAACCCAGCAAAGAGGAGCAGAATTGGGGCAGAGCTTTTTGTAAAGGTGGTTCCCTAGGGGCAGTTCCCCCCCTGAGCTGCTGCTGTAAGGCTTTTGTCTCTTCTCCCACCTGCAAGAGTCCTTGCAACAGCTGCAGAATGTGGATTTCCATATCCTGCCATCAGACTCAGCTGTGTCCTGGAGAGATCCATCTCCATATTTTTCCTCAGGGGAAGCTGATTATTTGATTGCACATGCTGTCCCACCCAGGGTAGGCTCTAGCTAGGGACATTAGTAATAAATAGGTGTCTCTAGAGGGGCCTTTCAAGCTGGGACCACTTTGGTCCCATTTTGGCAACAGAAAGGTGAAAGGCCGGGAATTCATCCATATAAGGAATCTCTTAGGAAAGATAATATATTGTGTAATTAAATAACTGCCCCCACAAGGTTTTCAGGGGTAACAAGCTGTGCTCAAAATTAAACACAAGTGTGCTGCACTCACACTACAGCCTGCTTAAGGCAGGTGAAAGTCCTTGAGGTTATGGAGAGGGAACGATTGTAATTCTGGCCTCTTCTTTCTGAGTGTCAGTGGAAGTTGTAGGCTCACAACTGGGTATGTGTGCAAACCCCATCTTAAACCTTTGAACTTGTTTTAAGCTAATCCATTTGTGCTTAATTTACAAACAGCTGGTTGATTTAAAGGGATTTTCATACTGGAGTAAACAAGAAGAACATTTACACAGGGAGTAAACTGTCCGGCTGTAAATTCCCTTTGCAGTTGTTATAGCTATTTGTTTGTATTAGATCTTAACTTCCTCGGTGCAAAGCTAATCCTTCTTGATCCTATAGTGAAGTCATGATCCTGTGTTTGATGTCACCATCTGTTGCCATAGAAGCAACTGTGATGTTGCAAATTAAACTTTATGACTTCATGGCAAGATAAAAGCACATCTTCAGCTGCTTGCAAGAGTGGTTCGGAATATTTCCATGAAGTGAATGGAAAATATGCCAGTTTACATTTTGTCTAAATACAGTTCTTGGAAACTTTGTGAACAGTGAGGGCTTGGAATTATATATTGTATGAAAGGGGGGAAAGAGAATCCAAGGCTTGTATCAAATTTGAGCTTTAAAAAAAAAATCCCCTGGCAAGTAATTGATCCTTGGCAGGAGCCCTGCTGTTAAAAGGTTAGTATGGTTGCAAACAGGACTGAAATAGAAACAGTTTAAAACTCAAAGCACTATACAGATACCACCTCTTCTGTCTGTAGAGAAAAGCTCTCATGGTCTCATCTGGTTGTGTGCAACAGCCATTGATAATGGTAGTTGAAGTCATTGTCACATAAATATCTAGTCAGGAGTTACAAAAACTTGAACGAGAATGTGATGTTATTTTTTTAAAATTGCTTAGGAAGTTAAGCCTTGATCACACTTTTAGGTGTCTGACCCAATTTGAGAAAAATCTTCCTTTTCATAAATTAGAAGAGTTTTTTGTCTAAATGGCATAAGAGGGAAGAAAGGTGTGAGTGATTCAGTGGTGCAGGAGGGCAGGGCTGCACCTGCATGAGGACCAGGCAAGGCCCATGTGCTACTTATAGCCCTCACTCTGCCCTTCTGCCAGGAGGAAGAGGCTGCAGAGAATGTGAGCCTAAATGCAGAAGTTTTTGTTTTCTTTTTTATGTACAGAAGAGAGGGGGATAGTATAATTTTTCTCTCTCTCTCTCTGCTAGCAGGGAAAAGAGCTGCCAAGTCCTAAATTAGGAACTTATTTATTTATTTTAAATTGGACCTTTCTCTTTCCTGCTATCAGTCATTTTCTTAAAATTTCTGAGTTGTTTCCCTCTTAAAAATGGATACCCATCTTCAGTATCTTTGAGTGACAAAGACTGAATCACGTTGCTGGTGCAATCCAGAGTAAGATACTAATGTCAAAACTAACTTGACACGACACAGTATCATGAGAAAGGTGAAAGTTGCCCAGTGAAATTCAAGGAATTTTGTACCTACAGGCACCTGTTGTAGAAGCACAGCCTTGATTCTGTTCATCTGCCCTTAAACAGGAATGCTGTGCCTACCAAATACCACACGTGCTTATCTTCACCTGCTTGCCCTTGTCTGGATTTGAGGATGGTGGCTCAAAACAGGTGGTTTCCAGACCCTCTGTTTTTAATTGATAAAATTAAAAAGAAGAGACAGTTTGAAGTGGTTACAGTGAAGACTCAGGAGGTAACACGTGGGGTTTGTTTGCCTTTCTGTTAAAGGCTGAGCATCTTGGGGAAGAAGCAGGGTGTGTTGTCCATCCTGTTGGACTGCTGCAGCCTTGTTCCCACTGGTGTCTTTCTGGTTAAATTATTTAGATCACTGAGTTCGCTTCTCTGATAAGCACACAGCTCTGATAAGTGAGTTAAAGGATTACTTGAATCATATTTTTAAGGGAAGGCATGAATTCTGGATTCTTTTGCCATGTCTTTCCTCATCTCTGAATATCTCCAAGGAACATGAAAGTAAAAAGTAACATCCAGGGACCCCCAGCAGAATTAGATTCACTTTAAACATGACACATGCTCTATATCCCTGGGGCAGGCACTTAATTTTGTAGTGTTTCAGACTTCTATGACATGATGATTGATTTTGCAGAGGTGAAGTTGCTTTAGTCATTAGTTAAAAAGCCTGATAAAGCTGCACGAAGATATTAAGTTGTTACCAATCGCTGGTGTCTCTTTGTTCTCCCCCAACCTTTACCCCACATTTGAAAGGGAAGGAGCAAGACAGGCAGGAGGCTGTCTCACTTTCAGTCTGTCAGGGTTTTATTAGGTCCTGGCTCCCATGTCAGGCGCTCTGCTGAAGCCCAGGTTTGCACCAGATGATTAATGGGGAGCAGCGAGCTCAGGCTGACAGGCTGTGCAGCCAGAGCCTGAGCCCCCAGCCCAGGACTCTGCCTGGTCCTCCCTGCCTGCCCTGTCCTCCTGCCTGCCCTGTCCTCCCTGCCTGCCCTGTCCTCCCTGCCTGCCCTGTCCTGCCTACCCTGTCCTCCCTGCCTGCCCTTCAGCCTGGCTGCTCCCACCTTTGCAGGTGTGTGGCAGCCTGCAGCTGGAAATTGGTAGTTTCAGGGGTTTAGGTTCCTTTTCTCCCTCTTTGTGTTCCACTCCCTCTGTTGGGATTTAATTGGTTCTTGGAAATCTCTTCAGCATATGAATGGCAGCTCGAATCCTCCTGGGAATTGAGGGCTGCCCGATGCTCACACAATTGATTCTTGCCTTGATTGCATGGGGTTCTCCAAATTTTTTTAATTATGTATTTTCTCTGAATCACAGAGGTATTTCTCTTGATTTCTAGTGCTTTTTTTTTTCCACCATCAGTGTCCTAGGGGTTGGATTTTTCATTCTGAATTCCCTTTTTATCACTGCCATTTGCACTTGCAAACTAGGGGAAATCTTTTCAGTACAAGCTTCTTATTTGATTGTGGTTGGGAGTATTGTTCAGGTTATCATCGAAAGAACAGAAGTATGTTTTGTGGATAGGCTTTTCCAGCCAGAATAAGCTTGTATCCTTGTGATATGGCCAATGAAAGGATAGTGCAAGGTACGAGTGGATAATAACTTAGGGAAGGTGATCATCAGGTCACACGGTTAAGAACAGTAAAACTGTGCTTGATTTATCCTACATGCATTACAAAGGAAAGATTCCTGTTTTTTCAGCCTGCCAAGCAAAGCTGCTGAGAGCTTCAGACACCTCTCTGTGGTAATGCTGTTGTAATGGACTTAATTTGGACAGGGGAGATATATTTTTTATTATTTTTCTCTGGGCTTCTGTTTTGATTTTACTTTTCCATAATGTAAGAGCATTCTTGTCATTCTGAAAGTTAAGTCCTTTCTGTATCCAAGTGCAACAGAACAGATCTATAAACATGTTGAAAGGACCTGTCATACTTACATTTTTTCTTACAGAGGACTTTCCCTACATCAGCTCCACTGAAGGGTTCTTCAGTGGGACACAGATATTGTACTAAAACCCAGTTTAAATCTGTTTTGAGTAAGTTGTGTTGTGTTTGTTAGATTTTTTTAATTATTTTAATGAATGATGTATCATGTCAGACCATGAGGGTCTGCCTAGGCCCTATATCCAATAGCAACTAGTCTGAAAGCCTGCAAAATAGCCCCAGGACGGGGCAAGAATATCATTATCATAGATGTGTTGCATCCTCAAAGACTTCCCAGAGTCAGAGGTGACACCTTTGGCTGTTACTTCCATTAATTTTTCTAATTTAATTTTCTTGGCACTTCCAGCGTTCTGTGAAAATGAGTTTCACAGTCTTAAGTAAATAACTGTGTGAAGAACTGCTTCCCCAGCCCTTGTGAACTGGCCACCTACAAGTTCCATTTGCCACCCCCATTCCTGTCCCAGGTACAGTGGACAGCTGATCTCCAGGAATCTGCTGTGTCACAACATTCCATAGCCCTTGTCCATGTGCCTGCTTATTTATCTCTGGTTTAGGCTGAAAGTGTTTTCTAGTTCAGGTGCATCCTTTTTCAGATGGTGAGAAATGTCTGTGTCTATACTTCCATCAGAGTTACAATTCCATGTTTGCTTTTCTGTTCTTACTTCCTGTGACTGTCTTTGCTTTTTGGCAGTTAGGGAGCACCGAACTGGCATTTTTATTCAACAGTCTTGTTAACTCTCAAGGCTGGGTTCTGAAATGACCAATTTGTAGCCCATCACAGCATATGTAGAGTCAGGATTACTTTGTGTGTATTATTTAACATTTTTCTACCTGGGTTTCATCTGCCCTTTTATTCCTCACATGTGTAGTAAGGCCTTTCTGCAACTCCTTGAAATACTCTCTTTCCTGTCTTGATGTTCTGGTACCTGTGAACTTGGTGTCACGAGTCATCTGGTTTCATATTGGCTGGGAATGTGTTGCTGGGAGAGAGCCCAGCACAGATCCGTGTGCAGTTTTCTGTGTGCCTTTGTGCTCCTAAGAAAAGTGACCATCCTTACCCTGTATCTGTGTTTAAAGCAATTTTCCCACCTCTGCACCCACTGAAGCTTCTTTTTTGGGACAGATTTGGATCTGAATCTACACTTTCCACTTAGGAAAACACGGAGGTGACCAATGACACAGGTGAGGGAGACTCTTGGAATTCACTGAATGGTTTGTGTTGGGAGGGACTTAAAGCTCATACTGTTCCAACCCCCTGCCATGGGCAGGGACACCTTCCACTATCCCAGGTTGCTCCAAGCCCCATCCAGGCCTTGGACATTCCAGGGATGGGGCAGCCACAGCTTCTCTGGGCACCCTGTGCCAGGACCCACCACCCTCACAGTGGAGAATTTATTCCAAATATCTAATCTAAACCACCTTTTGGTTTCAGAATGAGTTGTAAGATTTGTTTTCCAGGCATGTAGGCAGAGCAAGGATTAACTTTGTTGCTCAAATGCTATTCTAAAGAAGCTTTTCAAATAGGGAAGTCTTTAGTTTATCAAGCATGAAAGCAAGTTTGAAGAAGAGGTGAAAAATACCTGTTTCTCCTACTGATGCATTACAGGTGTAAAACTGCTGTTTGTGCATCACATAAATCCATTTGCCATATAAGTAGATTGGAGAATGCCAGATTTTTGTATCAAAATACTCTACTAAATTTAATTTAAACTCCCTAAGATGGATAATGTTCACTAAAGGTTCAGTAGAAAAGGAAATCCTTAGAGCTAAAAGTGTCAAGCTTTTCTCAAGCTCCTCAAGGAGTTTCTGATCCTCTTCCTTTCACCCCAGTTCCCACTCTCATGCTGTCTGGTTGTGCAGAGCTGTTCAGAAATAAAGCTGATCACTAGCTTATTGGTAAAAAATAATGCCAGTGTTCACTGTGGACTAACTGTTTTCCAAGCCATTTTACTCCTTCTCGTTTCAACAAACATGACATTGATTCACAGAGTAGTTTGGATAAACAGTTTTGTAGAAATAGCCTGTTCGAATTATTTTCTCTCTGGAATTGGGAGTGAGTGTCTTACAAGTGAGGTGGTGGTGGTGCTCTGTTCTGATTGCATGATTTAAATTTCTAAAGGGAGGAAATGAACAACTGAGAATAGTGACCATTAAGGTAAT